GTTGTGGAAGGAGGCAAATGAATGGTTGTCGGGGAGGCGATAGTTGTTAAGCTGTACTCAGCAGATAGGGCTAAGGGGCAGTTGTGGAACTGCAATCTCACGAATGAAATCAGAGTCTACGAACATCAACAGCGTTATCACTTGTCAGCAATGGTGATTGACCGAGAGACTCTTCTGGTGAAGGTAGGAATCTAAAGGGACTGTAACTCTTAAACACTTTCCTGGCCACCTGCCATCTCTACATTACCTAGGTGACATACTCATACACGTTGTCACATTTAGACCTATGCTAAAACATCTTGATTGACGGAGTCCATTTGGCGGTTGTATGAATTGTGGTTTGTAATTTCTTCCAAGTATAGATAGATACCAAGTGTCCTCTTCCGACCCGCTGATAAATCCGCTGTGATCTGCGGTGATAGCGGAGCTTACGGTGTGGGATCCATACGTCGGGAGGCGACTTACACCACCTTCAACTATTTGAGCTGATTTGGTTGAAGGCAGTAATCGCAGCTCTTCTACCATTGAGACAGTTCGTACAGAATATTGTCCAATATCTTGTGTTTTTGATTGAGGATATTTCGGCTCCGCTTCTTCTATCACACAAGCCACCATGGCTCGGTTGAGCTTCCTGCTTGTGAGCTGCCTCACACTGCTCGTCGGTATCGCCAGCGCCACTTCAGCTGTCATTGATCTGCTTCCCAAGAATTTCGACGATGTCGTCCTCAAGTCCGGAAAGCCCGCTCTCGTTGAATTCTTCGCCCCTTGGTGCGGCCACTGCAAGACCCTCGCACCCGTCTATGAAGAGCTCGCTCAGGCTTTCGATTTCGCCAACGACAAGGTGACTGTGGCCAAGGTGGATGCGGATGAACACAGAGATCTTGGAAAGAGATTTGGTGTCCAGGGATTCCCGACCCTGAAGTGGTTCGATGGCAAGAGCGACAAGCCTGAGGACTACAAGGGTGGTCGGGATCTGGAGAGCCTGTCTGCGTTCATTACGGAGAAGACGGGCATCAAGCCTCGTGGACCAAAGAAGGAGCCTAGCAATGTTGAGATGTTGACTGAGTCTTCGTTCAAGTCTACCATTGGCGGTGACAAGAATGTGTTGGTTGCTTTCACTGCGCCTTGGTGCGGACGTGAGTTCTTTCTTTTCGATATTTCCTCTTTTTTTCTGCTTCGTCGGACTGAGCTAATATGCCTCGGCGTTTACAGACTGCAAGAACCTTGCCCCTACTTGGGAGACCCTCGCCAATGACTTCGCACTCGAGCCCAACGTTGTGATCGCCAAGGTCGACGCCGAGGCAGAGAACTCCAAGTCTCTCGCCAAAGAACAAGGCGTCACCGGATACCCCACCATCAAGTTTTTCCCCAAGGGCTCAACCGAGCCCATTGCTTACACCGGTGCTCGTTCCGAGGAGGCCTTCATCGAGTTCCTGAACGCCAACGCCGGTACTAACCGTGCCGTTGGTGGAGGTCTGAACGAGAAGGCCGGCACTGTCGCCGCTCTTGACGAGTTCATCACCAAGTACGTCTCGTCGCGCAATGCCAAGGAGCTGGTTGCGGAGGTTAAGAAGGCTGCCAAGGGTCTTCAGGACAAGTATGCTCAGTACTATGTTAAGGTGGCTGAGAAGATCAGCCAGAACGAGGAGTATGCCAGCAAGGAGCTGGCTCGTCTCAAGAAGATCCTTGAGAAGGGTGGCTCGGCCCCCGAGAAGATCGACGATATTGTTTCTCGCAGCAACATCCTGCGCAAGTTTGTCGGCGAGAAAGAGACTGATGCCAAGGACGAGCTGTAGATTATTCCACTGGTTCAAGAGTGTAAGATTGCACGGATTTGGAGATCATGGACGGACTTGTTCATTTATACTTCTGGTCTATGAAAATATGTGCCTGGAAACTCCGTGATGCAAAGAATGTAGAAACAATGGGTAGACCCAAGAGGAACAACAGTTCAAGAAATATATAACAACAGGCATCTATTCCTCAAAATTTCAATAGGGTATCTCTCAATACGTGAGACATTAATACAACAAAGTACAATTGCGCATCTGCCACCCGTTCAAATGGATGCATCGCTCAAGAAATACTTAACCTATAAACTCCATTCCGCACGGAAACAGACCACCAATGCAATAACATGCTATGGAATCGAAAGGCCACACTTTATACGCATGCACGAAAGTCATTTGGTCGGAGACGAGGCTGTTGCCGCCGCCGTGCCGCCCGCAATAGTCAAGGAAGCTTCCAGCTCGTCGAGGCGCGTAGCCATATCGTCCACTGGAAAAGTACAAGTCAGTATCGTGTATAGCTAGCCTAGTGATAGATTCCATGTACGAGGCAAACGAACATTTTGCGAACACCTCCCGCGACACATTGTCGAACTTGTGTTGTAATTGGTCTAGGAGGTCGTCGACAGCTGCTGAGAACTGGCCTTGTGCGTCGGAGCTCTGCATTGCCTGTAAGCGACAATTTATCATTGATAATATGACCGGTTAACGAACCTGTTGCGATCTCAGAGATTCCCCGGTGGGAGGGGTGACGGCCTCTGATGTCGAGATGGATTTGCTATCTTCTGCCATGGTGTTTTGATAGTGGCGTTTCGGCAGGGAACGGAGAAGCCAAGTTTGAGACGCCAGTAAATTACTGTCCGAGTTTCGAGAATAAATGCTATGTATGCACCGAAGGTCAATCGCAAAGGTGATGTTTATTGTCCTATATACTATTACTCCCGGCGCTGATATCCAGATTAAGACGATAAGATGCCCGAGGATCAATTGTTTCTCCTGATCGCCGAGGTGATCTAGGCTAAATCTAGACTAGTTCTGGCTTATCTTAACTGCTAACCATATCTGGCCTAGCGGAATCCCAAAAAAATTCCCGTAGTTTCCTGATCTGAAAGTCTGGCGCGGTGCTCGACTGTAATTGCAAGCTTGCAGTCGAACACTCCTCTAGACCTTTATTGTGATTTTCGCTTTCATAAAGAAAATGCCTAAACGCAGCAAGTTACTCCAGGCACTTGATGCCCACAAGGGCCGAGACTACGATGCAGAGAAGCAAAAGAAATTAGTTAAGGCGGCAGAGAAGAGAAAAGCGACAAAGAAGACGGATACAGGAGATGATGAGAATAAGGAAGAGGAGACTGTTGAAACAAATGGCAAGGTATGTTGGAGTCGAGACATAAGAGCGTTCGGATCAAATTTGCTAAACCAATTGCTTGCGTGTGCACAGACTGAATCGGCGGATTTGAAATCCAAGAAGCGCAACGCTCCTGAAGATGGAGAAGAAGACGGATCAAGCGGCAATGAGGATGAAGAGTCGGATAAAGAGGGTGCTGGAGAAGGGGAATCCGACGAGGAAGACGAAGACGAGGAGGAGGAGGAAGAAGAAGAAGAAGAAGAAGAAGACATTCCTCTATCCGACTTGTCCGAAGATGAAAGAGAGGATGTGGTTCCTCACCAGCGCCTCACGATCAACAACTCTGCTGCTATCAACGCATCTATTAAACGCATTTCCTTTATCACCTCCCAGACGCCGTTTTCAGAGCACAATTCCCTAGTTTCGAGAGAGCCGATCGAAGTCCCCGACCCCAACGACGACCTGAACCGAGAATTGGCTTTCTACAAGGTTTGCCAGGCTGCCGCTTCAGAGGCCCGTAACCTGTTGAAGAAAGAGGGTGTTCCGTTCACTCGGCCCGGCGACTATTTTGCGGAGATGGTCAAGACTGACGAGCACATGAGCAAGATTAAGAAGAAGCTTTACGATGAAGCTGCTGCGAAGAAGGCTGCCGCGGAAGCCCGCAAGCAGCGGGATCTGAAGAAGTTTGGAAAGCAGGTGCAAGTTGCCAAGTTGCAACAGAGACAGAAGGAGAAGCGCGAGACCCTCGAGAAGATCAATGAGCTGAAGAAGAGTATGTTATCCGTCCTTTTCACGTAGGTTCCTGAAGAAATTACTAACATGTTTCTCTCATCTACTAGAGCGCAAGGCTGATAAATCTGGCATCACGGACAATGACAACGATCTATTCGATATCGCCATCGAGAACTCTGACAAACCCGACAGCCGCAAACGTAGTCGCGGCAATGAGGGCGGCGGACCCTCAATGAAGCGCCAGAAGAAGAATGAAAAATACGGCTTCGGTGGTAAGAAACGGCACTCCAAGAGTGGTGACGCTATTTCTAGCGGCGACCTGCGTAACTTCTCGGTCAAGAAGATGAAGGGTGGCTCCAAGAGACCTGGAAAAAGTAAGAGAGCGGCGGCAAAGGGCCGGTCCTAATGACTAGTTACTTTTGATTGTTCCACTATTTCATTGTCTATTTGTCTTCGGCTGGGGATTCAAAAGCAGAGACTATTGTTTGGCGTTCAAAAAATCGTCTGTCTTCACTTGTCCTGTTAGATAGCTGTCCAGACAGAACTTGGACTTCCTGACCATCAATGTCAAGTCCTCCATGTATATTGATCAATCTCAGACATGCCCTTCAAAGGAAATAATCTTCTCGCTGCGCTTCATATTGCGATTTTGTATGGGATATATACTCTGCTTCCCCATGGATGCTAATTATTTCCACTTGGTATCATTCGAAGCGCTCATGTCTATCACAAATATCCTTTGGTATCATCATCAATCAATCCACAACGCCGCGCTCATCTTCCGACAGCCGAAATGCGTAGTTGCCTCCATGTCAGACTCTGCCATGTCTTCGGTGATGTGTTAATCGTGCATGCATCGTGTCCTTCATTATAGAATGGATCTGTATTTAGTCCTTTCGTATGCAGACTCGTGGGCCTATTCATCGATGGGGTGATCGACCTACCAAGTCCAGTCAGCACCAGACCAACGACATGTAAGCCAATGATGCTCACCGAGGACATAGTCGAACAGTTGCGTACTGCTCGAGCTCTCATTGGTGTCTGTTGGTGCCAACAGCAGTCTGGAGTCCGAAACCAGCATATTTTAAGCATTTCACAGCGGATTTTCTAGTCGGTGATACGCAGCAGTTCTCTCATGACCCCGTTTGACCGTTGGCTCCGTTCTCTATGAGGGAAAGCCCAGCGTCATGGTTCCCCATCTCGCGAATCCGTTCGAGAAGATTATCGACGCGTATATTAATATTCAACCTTTGTTCCGCAAAAACAAGGTCAAGTTTGGCCTTCGTGTCGTCTGCATGCGCCAAAGAATGATCTTGAATTAATTCTTTGCCTCTCTTCGTGTTGCTCTTGTTGATCACCTTTCCGCATCCTCGTACCTGGCAAGTCCATGTATCAGATGGCACATCGTCGGCATGAGGAATGTCTAAGCCAGCTGAGTCCTGGACCTGATCTGCGGTAGAAACGGAAGTATTTCGGCTTTGGAGCGTTTCCTGCAGAGGCGTTTTGTGTTGAGGCGTGGAGGCCGTGTCTGACAGGATTGAGCGAGTTCTTCGCTTTGCTCTGGTTGATAGCGGGTCCCGCACCAGATCATGACCGCGGACTTTACTGGGGGTCTCGAATTCATCCATCCCTTCCTGATCCTCATCTGACATATCTTCTGGGTCGATCGCAGTGCTTCGCGTACGCTTGCCAATTTGCTTAGTGGAGAATGCGCTTGACTTCGGGCGCAGCACGGATTTGCGAACTAGCCGTCTTCGTGGTCTGCGATTTTCTTCGTGTTCACTCTCTTCATCAGAGGACTCTCCTTCAGAAGTCCGGGGACGCAACGGAGTAAGTGTAATCTGCTGAAGTTCATTCCTCTTTGACGCGGCCTTCAGCTCACGATAGATAACCTTCCGTGACCAGTCAAAGTTCGGGGTCTTAGCTTCGTCCATCAGTTCCAGGATGATGTTGGCCCTCGATGAGATAAGGTCTTGTGCATACTCGGGACTATCTATCTCGAACCGGCTCAAAAGGGTAGAGGCAAGTAAATCAAGATTGAGCTGACGCTTCGCCAAGTGTCCTGCCTCTTTCAACTCAAGGATCACCTGGTAAATTGCGTCTGCCTGCGTCTTTGAAATCACACTTGGATCCGGCGCATGCTTTGACTCTTCCGAAATCTCATCAATATCCTCATCCTTGTCCTCGTCCATAGCTTCCCCATCTTGTTTTGACTCGTGTGAAGCTTTAATTTCTTCATAGTCCTCCTATTTTGTGATCATCAGCAAAGGCAATCATGATGATAGGTACTGAGGAACCTGCTCACAGGAAACTTCTCGCACAAATGCTCGAATAGCTGCGTTTTGGTCCATTCTACTTCCTCTTCACCCTTCAGCATCCGAGAGAGTAGGAAGTTGTGATGTTTGTAAAAGACTTCGGCGGAATCATCAGCGTCCTCGCAGATACCATGTGTGTGGTTGACATACTAAAAGCATCCTGTAAGTGACTGACACCTAAGGTCCATCAAACCATGTAATCTGTACTCACCTCCTCACACAGGTACTCAACGCTTGGATTCCAATTCTTCCGTCTTCGTCCCTTCGGTTGGTGTCGGTCTGCCAAAAAATATAACAGATCAATGGCCTCGACCACATCATTGAACATTGGTCGGTAACCCCTCGCTGGCGATATGGAAAACCAGCCAGCACGGCCAGCAATCCAGACCCCAACCTCACCGTCACTATGTTGGCCGTAGGCATAATGGGTCACATTATCGATCACAATCCGTTTTGTAATGTAATCAGGATCGAGGACTATCCGAATAGGCAAGATTCAAGTCAGCTTCCGTTTAAAAAAGACGAAAATCGCGGTACTTGTGAGAGGTACTACGTGTAACAATTAAGGTTGTAACTCCAGTAATACATACCTAGAGACTCTTGCTCCTCCTCCACCTCATCCAAACAGCCCGTTACCTGAACAGGGTTGCTGGGAGATGCTGTGAGAAGATTGGCATATCGGGACTTGCCTGGCACCAGGACCCTGACTTCAGACAGACTGAACTCCTCCCAGTCGTTCTCGTCTGTAAGAGATGGGTCTCTGGCGGCCAGGACACTATCTTCTCGCGATGTCATGTCTCGGGGAGCAGCATGGTGTCTTGACTGATATGAAATGGAATTGACGAAAGCTTCTTCAGAAGCCGAACGCAAATATCGAAGGACCAAGAAATAAATCGAGTGAGGATGGTCAGAATGGAGTTCGATAGAGTCAATCGAGGCACCACCTTCCTTTGTCTGGCACACCTACCCACCCCCCGACAGACTGGTAATTACCCGTTGTTTACGAAATATGGGGCCAGGTAACTTGGTAATTCTCCGGTATGCACGAAATAATTGTACCGTACCGTTTTGCTGAGATATCTTCTTTATCGTACCCGGCAATACTGCTCTCTTTTCTAGTAGTAGAGTGGTTATTTGAGAAGTGCATTGCTAAACTGCCAGCTAGCTCCATTGCATATTGATCGATCGTTATCGATTTTCTACTTTTGGACATTTATTGATCAGCTTATTTACCTGCCACCAGTCTTCCCATAACCATATTTAATCCACCTCCCCGCGGCTGATGGGATTCCGTCGCGGCTTCAGATTATTTCGTACCACCATGTCTGGAGAAAAGATTTACGAGGGCGTCTTCGGTATGTGTTCTCGTACGCACCGGAGCATGATAAGAAATAGCGCTAATGTCCAACAGCCGTCCACAAGCCTCAAGGTGTCACATCGGCCGATGTCATCCGAACCCTTCAGCACCATTTCAACCCCTCCAAGCTCTTCAAACCCTGGCTCGACGAGGAGCGCGCGCGACGGAACAGAGAGAGCAGCTACCAGCGCAACAGGCGCCGCTCGAGGCGCCTGGACGTCAAGATCGGACATGGAGGCACTCTCGACCCATTGGCGACCGGCGTGCTAGTCACGGGTGTGGGCAAGGGTACGAAAAACCTCAACGACTTCCTAGGGTGCACAAAGACCTATGAAACGGTTGTGCTTTTTGGAGCGGAGACGGACACCTACGACAAGCTTGGGAAGATCGTCCGACGGGCCCCGTACGAGCATATCACTCGGGAGGCGGTTGAGAAGGCGCTCGAGCAGTTCAGAGGGAAGATCATGCAGCGTCCGCCTATCTTCTCGGCGCTGAAGGTCCAGGGTAAGAAGCTTTACGAGTATGCGCGGGAGGGCAAGGAGCCTCCAATCGAGATCCAGTCACGCCCCGTGGAAGTGAGCGATCTGCGCATTCTCGAGTGGTACGAGCCCGGCACCCACGAGTACGAGTGGCCCAAGGAAGAGGCTGCCGGTGAGGAGAAGGAAGTTGCGGAAAGGCTTCTGGCAAAAGATGATTCCCTGCCTGTAGCTTCATCTGCTGAGACCGAGGTCCCGGCAGAGGATAGCGGAGAACAGGAGACATCAACAGCTACAAAACGTAAGACACCGCCGTCTGCTGAGGAGCCCACGAAAGACGACGTGGATGCTCCATCTTCCACCGACGCCCAGCTTGCTMCAACGGCGGCGAAGAAACAGAAGATCACTGCCAATGGCGACTCAGCGCCGGCGCAGGCTGAGCCCTCAAGTGGTTCCTCGGGACTAGCTACCACGCCGGCAAACGAACCCTCCTCTCAACCTCCTGCTGTGAAAATCACCATGACCGTCTCGTCTGGCTTCTACGTCCGCTCTTTGGCGCATGATCTGGGCAAGGCTCTCGGTAGCTGTGGTCTTATGAGCTCGCTCATTCGAACGCGCCAAGCGGATTTCGAGCTGGAGTCTGACAAGGTCCTCGAGTATAAAGATCTCGAAGCCGGTGAGGATGTTTGGGGTCCGAAAGTCAAACGATTCCTAGAGGAGTGGGAGAAGAAGAGAGCCGAAGCGAACACAGAATAAGTCCATTCAGACATAGAACTCGGTCACTATCTAAAAGTTTTTTTATAATATTTCAGAATACCTGTGTACAATAGACAGCGTGACCAATGTTTTTAATATGGTGATTCTACTTGATGAGTTTTTCTTTGATTTCCTCCTATTCATAATTTCCAGGGTTTCTGGATAGCTTCGGTAAACCTGCACAGCCATCTCATGGTATCGGTACTTGCCGCGACCTGGCTTCTGTCTCAGTCACAGCGGGGCTTGTCTTCCCAAACTCTTCAGAAAGGGGATCTTGCAGGTCATTCGACAATGAGAGTAATCCATGTAAAGAAAGCCAGTATGGTGGCGGGCTGCTTCAACCCAAGAATGGAGATGTAAGATTGCAAGGTCTAAGCCAATGGATAAAGCACATTTACTAATCAAGAGGATCAACCTCCGCATCAAGCAGGAGATATTTCCATGCAATGGATCTATTTCATCAGATCATGCATCTCATCAGGTTCAAGGAATTGCTGAGTAAATGTCGCAAAGAGATAGGAGAAGGTTGCAAGTTAGATAGTCAGACACAGTCGGTAGTGGAACAAAGGAGAACCGCTTTTGGTGGGGTATACCGCTGAAAAAGGAGCAATTTGGCAAAAGAACACTGGAAAGGAAATTTAGAAGAGAAAAGTGAGGCCAACAGGTACGATTTCAGAAAGACAGAACAATGATCCGAAGGTAGTCTATGCGATAAATGAGAATATCAGGGCAGTGACTGCTGATGAGCACTGTGAGCGTCAATGAGTGCTGTCGTATGTTAGCTCTCTGTAGCCTGAAGAAGGTTGCAAGTGCGTTATTGACGACTTACTTTGGAGTACAGAGGCTTGTCCTTGTCGGGATTCACAGGCGCACTGGAGGGTGCTGCCGTTCAAGAAGTCAAGCAAAATGCTGTTAGGCAGTTCTTGACGATCTTCATCCGGTATACAGGGTGTTCTGAACTCAGTCAGATGGTACCGCTTGATCATGTTGCGGCTGCTTGAATCAACATTTCCAGGGGTCAATATCAGATATCCTTTGTCATCGATCCGAATGAACCGGCGCTTCCAGAGGAGGGTGTCAGGGAACTGAACATTGACCTCGCCGACGTCGATTGCCGCGGTGCTCACGCTAGCCTTCGGCTTCTCAGCAGCAGCCGGTTCGCTTTCTTCTTCCTTGACGGAAGGACTGAATGCCCCAATGACGCTCTTCTTTGAATTCGACGTTATCGATGACATGCGGCGTAGGAGTCGAGAAGCGCGAGAGGCCCTCTTCTCCTCAGGCGACGAAGATAAATCGCTGGTCGACTTCGCCAAAAAGGCCTCTTCCTTTTTCGAGATAGAGGTGATGGACAATCTGCTCTCAGATCGTGACACCGAAGCGGCTCGAGACTGGTGACCAGAAGTCGTAGAAGACGAAGACATACTACGTTCTTCTGATTTGGTAATCGTCGGTTCAAGAGACCCACGTTCAACGGTCAAGGGACTAGCTTGGAGATTGAGTACGCCCGTGTCTGGCAGGTCTGGTTTTGAATCGCTAGGAGTATTGGTTGCGTCGCGGACTATCCGAGCAGTCACCGAGATTGAACTCGTAGTGCATGCAGCATTCGTACTAGATTGTGAGTCGCGGCCTTTGACACTAGGGGCTCGGGAGAAAGCTTCCGGAGAATAAGAGCCATGCCGGGAAATTGAGCCTGCGTCAGAATTGCCCCCACTTAGCGACACGGATGCTCGCTTTCGAAGAGCTTCGAAAGAAGAGGATGCAGTAGGTGGTGCTAGATTCAACCCTGAGTTGGATGATGTTTCACGGCTGTTCGAAAACTTCTCCAGAGCTTTGATGCGCTTTGAGATGCCTGAAGATACATTGATCTTCTTGGCCACAAGCACAGGACCTGTTCCGCTATCCATGTCTCCATAAGGACCAGACACGGATCTGTCCCCTGAGAGTGACTGCATATTGTAAAATTGGTGTCCTAGGGCGCTCGGGTTCGAAACTGCCCGCGAATTCTTCCAAGCATGAGAGCTTATCTGGTCATTGTTATTTGGGTAGACAGGCGACAACGGCGACTTTCCGACCGAAACAGGCTTCGCTTCCTCGACAGTGGCGCTTTTCAATTCTTCCATGAAGGAATCATCCGAAAGGAGATTTTCGTCATCAGAATAGTCTGGAGTGGGCACCTGAATAGGCTCGAGCTGAGGTTTGCGCTTGTCTTTTCGAGTATTCACGTACTTCGAATCCGCATTCGAGGTCTCAGAGATCAAGTCATTCTGCGGCTCGGCGGGATAAGGTGCTATTACCGTCGCTGCAGGAGTGGAGCTCGACTGTGAATTGGAAGTTGGCGAGTCGGGAATAGGAATGGATTGGGGCAGGGTTAAATCGACAGGGTCAGTCACTGTTAAAGCCTCGTCCAGGCCAGTAACAGGATAATTATCCAGATGTGAAAGAGAGGGAACAATTTCTTGGGTTTCCTCTGTTGCAGCTTTTTCAATGCCCTGGGGTGGGACGTGGATGTCGGCGCTAGGCAAGCCGGGGCCACTTTTAGTGTCGTTGTCAACGGACGCGGTCAAGTCTCTGTCAGCAGCGTCCGCTTCAATCTTCGGAGGCACTTGAGTCGCCTGTAACTGGTCTGTCTCCAATGATTCTTCTGGGTTGGCTGCAAGAGCGAGGCCTGTTCTCAGAAGCGACTGATTGGGAATCTGTTCGTCATCGAAGTTGGCGACCTCCATACCCACGGCGGAATCGGGTGTTGTGGAGTCGGACGTAGCAAGCTTTTCGGCAGGGGCAAGCTTTTCCTCCGGAAGTGCGATTGATCTAGGCAAAATGGAAAGCTGCATCTTAGGACAAGGCTGTTTGCTATCTTCGGTCACCGCTGCAGTTTCTTGATCATGCTTCGATTTGTCATCAGCCTGATCAATGTTCTCCTTATTCTCGTCAACATCTGTCAATCTCTCATCTTTCCCCTTGCGACCCTTTTTACTCTCCGCCGCACGCTTTTCCATTTGAGTTTTTCGCAGCTGAAGTGCTTTCATCAGCCGTTCCTTTTCGTTTGAGGTGCCAGACGAAGACAGAGCACTCAGTGATTTAGCACCAGGTGAAAGCTGAGGCCGCGAAATCGGCATTGACAATGGCGGGACCAACAAGGGCGGGACAGGGGGAGCTGTTCGGCTGGACACGGATGCCACTGGGCTTCCTTGAGAACGGGGACGAGA